GGCGAAGGAGAGGAAAGGCACGTAAGAGTCTGTTTTGCCAATCTTTGTGACAAGACATCCGTTGCCTTAGCTTTGTGATGCTGCCAGCAGGAAAAAACATAAACCTTGTGATTCAGGTGGGAGGCAAACAGAGCCCTTGCTGGGAGACCAAATTCTTTAACCAGTAGATGGAACACCTCTCGGTGTAGTTCCCACTTGGGACTGTCTAGTTTTGGCCTGCTGAGCCAGTTGACCGTAACTTTCAATCTTCCCTTGGACATAAAGAGAGAACTGACTGAAGGCTCTCTTTTGCCCAAGTCATCAGGAGGTGAGCTTCTCTCAGAGGGACTGTACAACTCATTGTCCTTTTCTGCTGAAATAAGACATGGCTGAGGTTTTGCCTGTCATGATCAGCATAAGAGTAGAGCCCGGATATGGGAGCAGAGCCTCAAGACCATATCAGATTGCCCTGAGCCCTTGCCAGTTTATACTGTGCTTACTTTCTTGTTTGGGCTAGATCCTTGAACAGTCCTTGATCCTGTGTGATAATTTTGTCCCTCCAGGCTTGCATCTATGGCAGTAACTGTCCTGACTACTTTGCCTATTGAAAGCTTGCTTTGAATCTGCTCAGTCTTCATGGAGAAAGATACTTTTACTGAGGGGTGGATAAGAAATAATGGAGGGAGGGATAAGAGAAATCTCTATAGTGGCCCAATGTGAGCACAGGCCCACTTGAGAGGGGCCTGAGTCTCCACAGCACAGGCACAGATCTCCCAGCAGGCACTCAATCAGCAGTGAGGTGCAGGAGACCGTGTCTGGCTTTCCCTCTCTTCTTAGCCTTCTCTGCCACGCTGCACTCTGCTTGGGTGAAGAGAAGGGATGGACTATGGGGAGAAAGGGAATCCCCTCTGCCAACAAAGGCAGATGGTGACAGCCTGGAGATTTAAAGCCATTTTTTAAACTGCTCTGCAGCAGGGAGGCACTGAAGCAGCAGACAAAAATATGGCAGTTTCTCAAAGGTGGCAGGATAGGTGTGGTTCCAATGACAGACAGGTTTGGCCTGCCTCCAAAGCTGCATAGACAGAGGCCCAATGTCATGGATCTGTGGCCCTCATTACAAAGAAGAAATACCATTTACAGGTAGCTATTCTAATTTCTTTTAGACGAAGACCCCACACCACAGCTCTAATTATACTAGTACATTAAAAACCACCACCAAAAATAGTACATAAATCTTCCAAAGTCACAAGTCACAATTCTGTGATGCAAACCATTATAAAGAGGTGTCATTTTTCAACATTTTGCAGGTTATACCAGCACTGACTAAACTGTACAGTTAGGGTTCATTTTTATACAATTCTATATTTTGACATTTGAATTTTGTATATACTAATGTTTATAAAAAATGTACTTTTCAGTTTGCACACCATATCTACTTCTCCTTGACTGCAGGCCAAAAAAGCACACTTTTTATTTGCAACCACTAAAACTTGTGTCTTACAGATCCAGATCAGCTCACACTATCACCAATTTTTTCTAATTTAGAATCTAGTTTACTTTTAAAAGGGATTACTTTATCATAAAGAATTAAAAGTACTTTTATAAGAATTTTATATTTGCAATTTTGCTTTGGGACAAATACTAAATATTTGGATTTACTTATATTATATCTATTTCTATTTCTCAGTAACTTAAAATATTAAGCATGGCCAGGACTATAAATTAAGGAAATTAACTTGCAAATCCTTATTCACATGAGTAGTACATAAGTGAGTAATCCTACTAATTCTGGAACTACTTGTATGAGCGAGAACTAAAAGCAAACAAGAATCTGCAGGATTAGTCCCCAAGACACTAGTACAGTATTTAAAGAAAAAGCCTATTCAGTATACTGTTTGGAAGGACTGCTGAGAAGTAATTAAATCCCAACTTTTATGTTTTACTGAAGAACAGTTTTCAAAACCATAGTAGTGTTTTCAAGAAATTAAAAACAAAATAATTGGTATCTCTGCTTTAAAAAAAAAAAAAAGACAAAAACAATATCTCATTAATAAAAAGAACACCCTAACCATAAAAAAAACCACACTAAAAACCAATTATGTTATTAGGAACACAGATAAAAGCACTGTTTTTGTATTTAAGTACCCTTTGCTCAGACTTCTTCCTTGCTAGTAAAAGCAGACGTGCTAAACAATCATGGGGCATTTGACAAGAGTTACTGCTTGATGTATTTGAGTCGATGAAGATATAGACATTTATCTACTGCATAGCAATTGTTTGTGTAATTCAGACTCTGTACTAATACAAATAAAGTTAAATTGGACGTGCTGCCCTTCATGTAGTAATTTTGTCTGGATGAGCCGTCATTTTAAATTTGACTGAAAATAACTGTAGACACCTTAACTGGATTAAAAGCAGCACTAACTACTCCTCCACAATAAAGCCAATTACTTAACAGCAGGGACCCACTTCATCATCAATTAATCCAGTCAATGTGATCACTATTCAATGCACACACAAGAGAGCTGCTTTAAAATAGTTTAATTAACTCAATACAGAGTAAACTTCACAGGAGAAATCCATAATCAATTTTCCCAGACTTCATTACAGACATAGATTCAAAGCGCAAATTAATCTGACGGGATATAACTTTGATTCTCCAACATGAAAAACTGTAGTCAGTTTTGCCTAATACATAAAGGGGTTTAGTCCTTCAAAAGGAGCAAGTGACCCATATTAATGTTCCTGAGCATCACATACGTATTGAGAGATTAATCTCTTAAATGGATCAAACACAGTTTGTAGGACTAGTACACACTGGTCTACTTATTCTGTCACATTTTGCAACCAAATGCAATAGGACCAGTTATTTAATACAGACTACAAAGCAAGATATTTTTAACTTGAATGGAAATTCTAGACCGTCACATATACTTTGCAGCTTACACACACACACTCCTACCTCTGCTACATTTCCAAACAAAAGCACAGAATGTGGGTTCCTAGATGTGACAGTACATTATGGCACAAATGGCTGGTTATAGAGGGTAAAATCTGTATGTGACCTAAGGAGCAACAGGATGAGTTTCAGAGCCAGAGCTCCAGCTCCAGGGAATGTCTACACTGCTATTTTTAGTGTTGTAGCACAAGCCCCAGCCTGTAGACCATGACTCTGAATCTTGCTGACACAGCCTTTTTTTTTTGGGGGGGGGGGGGGAGAGAAGGAGCGGAGGACGGGACAGTATAGACATACCCTCGGTGACGGTCTCCTAAATCCCATTTTCAACAGTGACTTAGGCACTTGGGACTTGGGCAAAATAACTTCGTACACAGACTTTTTATCTGCAAAGTTTTTACCAAAAAACAGTAATTAATATTCACAATATGGATATTAATATGCCCATTTTATATAGGGAAACTGAGGATGACAAATTAAGTGACTTGTCCAAGGGGACAAAGTTCAACAGACTTTGGCGGGAAGGATAGCACAGCGCTTTGAGCATTGCCTGCTAAACCTAGGGTTGTGAGTTCAATCCTTGAGGGGACCACTTAGGGATCTGGGGCAAAAATTGGGGATTGGTCCTGCTTTGAGCAGGGGGTTGGACTAGATGACTTCCTGAGGTCCCTTCCAACTCTGATATTCTATGATTCTATGAACCAGATCTGGAATTAGAACTCGGGAGTATCTTGTCTCCCATTCCTGTGCTCAGATAACATCTCTCTCTCACTCAGTAGGATACTACAAGTCAAGGTCAGCAAGTTGCTTGACCCTGTCAATGAGAAGTTATTCCTTTTTAGGGGCTGACACCAACCTCAATATATATATTCAGCTGAAACAATAATTAAAACTGGAGTATAACACACTTAAGGTATGTCTACACTGCAAGAAAAGATCTGCAGTTAGCCTAGGTCAGTTAACTCGGGCTTGTGGGGCTCAGTGCGGGGCTAAAAAATTGCAGTGTAGATGTTCTGGCTCACACTGGAGCCTGGACTCTGGGACTCTGCTTGCAGGGGTGCGAGAGCGTCCCTGGGCCCAGGCTCCAGCCCAAGCCTGGATATCTACACTGCAATTTTATAGTCCCACAGCCTGAGCCTGCTGACCTAGGATAGCCGCAGGTCTTTTATACAGCGTAGACATAACCATTGATGAATACGATAAATAGGGACAAACCAGCACAACTTCTGTAAAAGAAAAACGTTCTTCTCCCATCTATTAGACATTTTTGAGGGAGACAACAAGATAGCAGATAAAGGAGACAGCGTTGATATAATTTATACGGACGTTCAGAAAGCCTTTGATAAAAATCCCAAACAAGAGACTTCTGAGGAAGTTAAGTAGTTACAGAGCTAGCGTTAAAGTTCTACCTAGGGTTAGAATTAGCTAAGACACAGAAAACAAAATATGTTGTATTTGTGCATCATCAACAGAATTGTTAACCAAGCTCACTCTGTAAACTTTTTATTGTTGGCAAGGTGTGAGCCATAACGAACCAGTTTACATTTCAGATTCCAAGCTCCATTCAAGGGCTGGTAACCAGGGTTTAAAAAGGACATATTTTTATATTTGAGATGTGCAAATTTGATCCAGAAGTCATAAATACATACAAAATATGGAACCCCACTCAGTCACTTTTCAGAGCAGAAATGTGTTTTAAAGGCTCAAAAAATAATACTGTAGATAATTACCATAATTTTCAAACTTGAGTATCTAAAGTTAGGCACCTAAACTCATATTTAGGAGTATAGATAAATGGCTTGATTTTGCAAGGGGCTTAGCACTCGCATTTCCTATTCAAATGAATGTGATCTGTGGATGTTCAACACCTGTGAAAGTTAGACCACTTATTTAGGTGCCTAACTTTATGAACCCAACTTTGAAAATTATGGCCTACATATTTTATAATCAACTTTCCATCAATTTTATAGAAATGTTCACAATGAAGAGGGGGAAAAAAATGTTTAACTTTCCTATAAAAATAAAGACAGGAGTGTAACATCTCTATATTCCATATCCTTCTTACCTGCTGAACAATATTTAAATGCAGGGCTCTCCTCTATTGCTGTCGCACTCTGAGTCTTGCACACAAAACTCTGCTTGTGCAGCTGCACATACTCCATGGAATGTATGGAATCTGCTTGATTAATTTCACTGGCCTGACCCATTTGATTGTCTCCTGCAGATTCTGAGAAGTATGGAAGGCCTTTATTGTGCCCCATTACTTTAATCAAGTCACTCCCAGGCAACATCTTGAAACTGGTGGTATGGGAGTCCAAATTAACAGAGTTTTTCCCAGTAAAACAATGGACTCTGGGGAAGTCAGGCTCATCATCTTCAGGGATAGGATTGTACCATATTTCTCCTTCATCATCTGCATCATTATCCTCACTGAAATCTAAAGTACAGTTTCTCAAAACTGAAGGGCTTGTAGAATGGTGAACAGCAGTTACAGAACTATAGATTCTTGCAGGACATTCCTTTCCTATAGGTGATTTGGGAGGAACCTGTGGCAGTTTAGGTCCAGGTAATGGACTGGAAGATTTGGGTACATGGATAGTGTTTCCTTGCATTTTCTTACAGATATTTTCTTCTTCCAGATTAGGGGCCTTTAAAGTACTCTGATGTAGCCAGTTACGTTTCTTAGAAACTGTGATGCTGTCAAGCTGTGGCCTATGCTCATGGACTTCACTGGCCACAAGAATTTTAAGTTCTCTCCCGCTTGTGGAGGATATGTAAATATTTTCAATTAAATCTGTTATTAAAAGAGGAAAAAGAGATGCTTAGAACATTCTTCCAGTTTTGATCAAACACAAACACATACACTGTCATGTCCCATCCACACTAAATCCAGTCCCACAGGACAAAAGAAATGTTGTGCTATCATGAACTTAATTTCAATCCATCAAAAGACAACAATTGTGCACGTAGTAAAGAAACAAAAATATCTTTTGACATAGCAATGGAAGTGATAGTACAAGCACGTCTGCACTTGTTCCACATTCCAAGAATATGCACATAACAAAACAGAATGTGGGGAAGCAGTCAATCTGACACTCCTATCGATAATGAGGATATAACAGACATGCAATATTAACTTTAATATATCTCATGACATACATGATATTCTTGACTATGGTCTAGATCCTGCAAGGTGCCATGTGTCTTCTGAGAGCTGATAAAGGCTCTCAAATGAAAGACCACCACATCACAGGACCAGGCCCTAAGTGAGATGCAATTTCAAGCTGCCAAAAAACTGTGCAGAGTCCAAGTCTATAGAAAGTACTTGAGAGAACACGGTTCTGTCTCCAAAACAGAGTTTAATGTTAACAGCACTTGTATAGAAACGTTCAAGGTACTATTTCCATTTAACATTTATATCTTCTTTAAAATCTCACCCACATTGTTGGCATTTGTAAAATACTGAAGGATTAACACTGAAATTGAAATGTAAACTGATCAAGTAAAGTTGCTCTGTGTGTTTCAGTGTCTTAACACACTACTTCAGAAATGAAAGTGCTTTGGTAGTACCCCAGATCAACTTTATAGGCACCCTCCAGTCTTAAAGGTCCTGCCCTAAATCAAGCGCATCAAATACAATTCTGCTCCACTTATTAGAAACTCCATTAAGTACCCAATTTTATCAGTACTTCGATGGTCGCTGTAAATTTCTTCATATTATGTTTTGTAAAGAACAAAAGAGACAGTCACTTAAGACTGTTTCACTTTGTTAAAATTTATCTAGGAACAAGTTACTTATAAAAGTTTATTGAGCCAAAAAGCAATGTCCTAAAAATGTCAGGTTTCAGAGTAGCAGCCGTGTTAGTCTGTATTCGCATCCGATGAAGTGAGCTGTAGCTCACGAACGCTTACGCTCAAATAAATTGGTTAGTCTCTAAGGTGCCACAAGTACTCCTTTTCTTTTTGTCCTAAAAATGTCATCATAGCACAGTATTCCTATTATCAAAGTACAATAAAAATGAAAAAAAAAATACTAATTATGTATTGACACTTAAGTTTTGCTTGTGTCTTTATTTACATACAATCTGAAGGTTTTGAGTTTTTCTACTGAATTAAATACAGATTGCAGTTCTTCTTCACCAGACATATAAATTACATAGTACTACAAAGTTGATTGTTCATTACATTTATTTTAACTTAGATGTCAGCACTTTACATTAATGTAAAGTTCACATTAAACGCAAAATTCAGGCTCCAGCATTTTAATAAGTAAATGTGAAGTACCCTCTACCTAAGATCAAGATGAACACACAGATTTGCAAAACAAGTCTATTTTATTTCTACTGTAGCTATGCATCAAGTCTGTACAGTATAATTAACAGATTCCTTCTAATTAAAGTCATTTTATTTCCCCATGAATACCTGTAAAAGAATGCATGCAGGCAGCATTTAATGCTCTTTGAACAACCAATACTTAAAATACTTTTGCTAACTACTTTAACGATTATGTTTGCTGAAGAAGTCTTGTTTTGCAATAAATCTAGAGAATTTATAACCATTGAACATTTAACTAGGCATACTCCTAAAACAAAACTTCAGCAAAATAGTATTTAAGTAGCAAAAACAACCCTGAAGTACATTTTGCAGCACTCTTGTTCAGTGTGCATTACATATGTAGGTTAAAAACTGTGAAAAACACAGTGTAGAAATTACCAATATATAAATGGTGTACAGCTTATGACAAAACAAACACACTGTTTAAGGACAAGTCAAGGATCACATCGATTTTGATATTTGAACTCAATATTAGCATTAACTGTGAACAACAATTCAGCCATGCTTAAATTGAGTATATTGGGTGTCTATACAAGGGTTTGTTTTGTGCAGATGCTGCTGTATTGGTGTAAAACCCTAGTGTACATAGGCTGCATCAGTGCAGTTACAGTAGCATAGCTATACTCATACTAAAAAGACCTAGTGCAGACAAGCCCTCTGTTTAAAGCTATTGTAATGTTTATTGACTTTGCCTGTTTATTAAGGAAATCTTAATAATGGTTCTGATGTGAAGACCTATATTTCTGTCTACAATAAAAAGGCAGTTATTTCAACTTGCTTTTTAATTAATTTCCTTCTCCATTATTTTTCTTGCTGTTATTGTTGCTCCAAATAATTACATCTTCTATTTTGAACATTTATATTTTGTATCATTTGTAATTAGACATTACACAAAGTCAGAAATATTTATTTAAACCAGTACAGTATATGCTAGGAATGCTTGCTTTCTACATCTGATTGCTGGCTTTCTACATCTGATTGCTGCATTAAAATCCTCAATTTTCCAGTAACAGCCTAAGGAATTGTTCCTATCTAACAATTTAAATAGATGGAACATTCAAGTATTCTATTTCTACAACAAAAATATCTGTGTTACTGCCAGCATTGCATAGAAATGTGTGCCCTTTAGCATTAGTTAGGAAATCTTACAATCCTCAGAAGGGCAGACTCTTAAAAATTATACACACGCCCAAATATACAAACCAATCATATGTCTGAAATCTGGGCCTAAGCTACCTTTTACTCCTAGAACAGCAAAGGCTCAAAGTACATATATATGATAACATATACCAGTACAGTGTTCAATATTCCAATTACAACTTTACTTGAAAGGCTTACTAAGGAATACAATGATAAAATGTGTTGAGAATTCTTGAATAACTTTCCATGACATGATTTGCTGCTGTATCACAATTTGAATTTCAGAAATACTATTCTCACTCTTAGACTTTATGCAGACAATAATAAGCAAGCTTACTACTGCCAAAATTCATTGTCAGTATTACAAATTTTCAAAAAAAAAAAAATCTTATCTTAAATCCAGAACCAGCCAAATGGTATACTTCAATTTAAATGTCAAGTCCGTCACTTACAATCAAATGACAGACAGCTGTATTTGTAAGCTCTGAACTTCTCCTTTATATGGTCTTAGGCCCTGATCCTACAATCCTTTACACACATGCTTAACTTCAGTACAACAAGAAGTGCCACTTAGGTCAACGGCAGTAGTAAAGTTAAGCACATGCGTTAAGGATTGCAGGATCAGAGCCTTGATTTCGAAAGGCATTTTTACTTTGAAATCTCACATATACCACATGAAAGGACAAGGAGAAGCACAGAGAAATCTAACACAAATCTTTCAATATACCTCATACATATCTCATGAATGTTCTGATTTATCTGAACTGCTCAATGTACTTTTCAAAACAATTAAAGCAATTCATTTTATAAATATCTATAATGTCTAAATATTTTTAAAATCTTACAGAAGTATCAAATTTCTGAACGTCAGCTCTGAAGTTTGCTACCTCATCCACTTTTGCAGTTAAGACTCAATATGTTTATATTATTGTAGCTGACAAAAAATGAAGAAAACAGCCAGAGATAGAAGTCAATATATTATTAGCCATTACTAAAAAAGCTTCAGATAGATCCTAGTGAAAATGTGTATTTTGTAAAGTCCCAATATGCAAGTACTGCCTTGTCTGGACAATAAGTATGCACTATTTGACAGAAATACAGCTCTAAGAGTACAATTAGTTCAGTAAGCTGACTGACATTTTGAAGATTTTCCGATCCTATTAACTTTAGTAGTGATCAGGCCTTAAATAAGTAGAAGGATTTTAGAAATATGTAGGTCATGCTGTCCTTTACCCTTTGTTCTAAGGCAGTCTTATTTATAATAATATTCTCTAGATAAAATTATTTGTATTATTACAGCACCTAGGAGTCCCAGTGTGCCAGGCGCTGTACAAAACAGAACAAAAAAGATGATCCCTTCCCAAAGAGCCTCAGTCCAATGTTTGTTTATTATGGTTTTCTTTAAAGCTAACTATTCAATTTACCTTGTAATATACTGACTGACTACTAACTAAATATTTCTTTATAAAAGAGTAGGACCCAATTTTACAAACATGCACATGCAGATCAGGTCTCAGTCTTTCAACTCGATTGAGGTAAAGGTTAATATTTTGTCTATCAACTGTGTGTAGAAAATTTCTCAACAAAAGGTCACACTCTACCTTTCTAAGCCATATTTTTTGGATGTCAGGATTGGTTGACAACCAAGCTTTTAATTAAGTGGGAAGAGAGTTTTTGCAGTTCCCCATCTAGATCAAAATAGATCATTCCCAGAATTAATTTAGACCCCAATATTTTTTTTGTTCAAACCAAACTAACAATTAACTTGCAAACATTCAAGTAAATTAGAAAAATAAATTAAAAGAATTATGGAGCAAGCAGCAGTACAAAGAAAAAGCCTGGGGAGTTATAAAACATTTAAATATTGAACAAAGTAGGGGCCCCAATCCTGCAACTTTTTAGTCACATGAGCAGTATTTACTTCTAGGGTTACTCATTCCTGGAAGTGGTTGCAGGGGTCAAGCCCTAAATCTGGATATGCCAAAGCACACTGTGTTTATTTGCGTTAAGTTATAAAGCAAACAAGATTGGGTGAAAAGGGAGATTGCTAAGAACCAGCACAAAATTAATTTTGTTCAACTGAAAGGCTGGTCGTTAAATTTAAAGCCCTTTTCAGTTTTAAGAGATGAGTTTTATTGCCCAGAATAATGAACAGATTGTTTGTGTACACCCACACCTTCTAATTAAAATAAATAATTTCCAAACGTGAATGAGTTGCTTAAAATATGCAATACTGTATAAGAGAGACAATACCAATCATTTGGGATTATATTTGTTCAGTTAACTTCCTACTTGAGTTTACTGCAAGTAAACATATGGGCTTTTTTAAATTAAAAAAGGACTGCTTTATGATTTCAACATATTATAGTGGTTATCTATATGTAAATCATTTTACTCTGGTGTACACAATAACACAAGTGTAAATTACAAAATTCTAACAAACATATACATCATTTTGGTACTATTTTTAATGATGCACAATCAGAGCTACTAAAAATAATGTCAGTTCTCATATTTTTGTGGAAGTACCATTTTGTGGATTCATCTCAAATTCGCCCCCCCCCACTTTCTATGAAAGTTAAAACCAATTTTCACAGTAAAAAAGCCATTTCACTGGAGAAATGGAAAACGTTTGCCTTAAAACACACCATAATTTTGCCTATGGCAACGTTTTGCCACATTCACAACTGCAGTACTGTTAGTGACAGAACTAGCAAGTGCAACCTACCTCAAATCAAGAAAACACCCAAAGTTCTATATGTGAGTATTCAGAGGGAAATCTAGGACTTCACACAGCTCCAGTATTAACCTCTAATTTGCAGATGATACTCAACTTTTTAGGTATGCTGCTTTTATAGGTGCATGAACCTGTAATAAATATCTGTAATCGCTGATGCCAACCCCTAGAACCAAGAACGCTAGGTGTGTTATACTAAAACTACATACACATTCCCCTGCTATACAGCAACCTGAGACATTACACTAGCATTTCATTATCATCCTGTAAGGAATGGTTGAACTTTGCCTCCAAACTGCAGGCTACCCTCCACCATTCAGTCACCACCCCTTAGTAAGACAGACCAGAGGTGGGGTTAATTTGGCTCCAGGCCTTCCAGCGCACAAGCTGCTTGGCGGAGTGTGACAGGCTGAAGCCAGGCCCAAGCGGTGTGGGGGCCTGGTCGCCATCCCCGCAAACATACCTGTCAGCAGAACTCTTTGGTCCGGGGGAGCTGCCTGGGCCTTGCTTCCCTGCCCTCTCCAAGCCGGCGGAGTTGCGGGCCCCTCTTCTCCAAGGTCTGGCTGAGCAGGCAGCGCCGCACCTGTCCCAATGGCTCTGGGGTCAGCGGAGGAAGCCCCAGCCCCGATGCGCCCCTTCATTCCCAGGGACAGCAGGCGCCCTTTACACATCCACTTCTGCAGCTTCCCGACGCTGACCGCGGGCGGCCTGAAGGGGCTCTGGGAGGCATGCGGGCGGCTGCCGGGGCACGCTGCCGGGAACCCGCCCCCGGCCGCTGCCTCTGGCGGCGCGGAGCCCTGGGCACTGAGCAGCAGCCGCTCGGCCTGGCGCGCCTCCGCGCCCCGATCCGGGCTCTCCCCGCAGCTGACTGAGCGCTCTGCGGCTGCAGGAGCGTCGATTCCCCCGCGGCCGCCCTCCGGCCGCGCCCGGTCCCAGGCCGGGCCAGGAGGCTCGCCCTGCAGCAGGTGCCCCGGGGCGGGCTCCACGAGGTGGTAGCGGATCACGCTGTCGCTCAGACACCGCTGCAGAGGCGGTGGCTTCGCGGGGCGGCCGGGGGACAGAAGGGAGAGGTTCCCTAGGCTCTGACCCCCGTGCCTGTGAGGCGCCAGCTGGCCGGGACGCCCTGCGGAGCCCTGGGCGGGCGGTGGCGGCCAGGCGGTGGCGGGCACCTGCTGCTGCGGGCTGCCCTCCCCGGAGGAGGAGGACCAGGTATCGCTGCTCTCCGCTGCCCCGCAAGAGGCGACGGGCTGGGGGAACCCTCCAGCGCAGGCGGGGCTGGCCGGGGGCAGGTCGTGCATGGCATGGATCAGCAGGTAATAGGCCTCCTGCAGCTGGCTCCGCAGCCTGCCCGTGCTCTCCCGGGTCCCAGCCAAGCGGCCCTCCCCTCGGCCCTGGGCACAGGCGGCAGGTAGCCCCTGCGCCTCCTCTCGCGCCTCGGCCGGGCGGCAGCCCCAGGGCAGAGTCTCATTATCGTAGTAATCGCCCTCCTCGCCGTCAGGAGCACGCCGCGCTGGGGCAGACCGGGGCTGCGGGGCTGGGTCCCCCGGGGAACAGCCAGGGGTGGCCGGGGCTCCTGGTGTCCCTTCCCCCAGAGCTGCGGGGCCATGCGGTGCCTTCCCCCGCCGGGGCCAGCCGGGCTGCCGCTGTCCAGACTCCTCCTGGCTCCCAGCCCCCGGGGGCACCGGGACCTCCCGGCTGCTGGGCTGAGCCCACGGCGCTCCCCTGGCCTGTGGCTGCTGCTGGGCTTTACCTTGAGGGGCGCCGGTCCCCCCGCGGGGGTGCGCGCCTGCCGCCGCCCCGCGTTGGGACCTCCTGCCCCGCAGCTTGGAGAGGGTCCTGCGCAGAGGATCAGCCATGCCTGCCCCCGCCCCGCACCCGCCTGCCTCAGTAGCTGCTGCCCGCCAGCAGGAGGGTGCTGGGTGCCCCCCTCGCGCGGCAGCTGGTGGTGGTGGCGGCGGCGGCGGCCCCATGGTCGGGCGGGCTCGGTGTGCGTCGCACTCCCTCCCCGCAGCCCTACTCCTGCCGCCGCTCACATACTTGGCATAACTGAGCGGGGTGAGAGGGCGGCCTGCAATGCGCATGCCTTGCTGCCCGCCGCGGAGCGTGCGCGCCCGGCTCTCCCCGCCCGGGCTCCGAGTTAGGGGGGCTGGAGGCGAGGCCAAGGCTCCCCCCCGACCCGGCTCTGGCCGCTACCTGCTGTCCACGCGCACGGCTGAGGGGGAACCGAGGGGCGAGAAGACACCAGTCCCTCCTTGCAGCTCTTGTTAGGGTCACAGCCCCTTCTGCTCCCCCTAGCCCGCTACATCCATGTGTGCTAATACCTTTAGGGCAGGGGCTTGACTAGAGCATAGAGGGCCTGAATCGCCTTTCCCAGGCCCATACCTGGGAGGGAAAGTGAACGTGCCCTCCCCCAGCTGCACCTAGGCCGTGACTGGAGTGAAGCACCCAAGGACGCCCCCGCTCCCAGTGTTGCATGGGGGAAGGAATACCGGTGCTATTTGTGGTAAAACAGCGACGAAAGCACGAGGATGGTGCAGAGATTCATGACCGTGAAATTGCCAGGAGGGCTTTGCTTTTGTTTACTCTGTAGAAAACTAAGGGAAAAGACCAACAAGTGCAACAGGTGGCCTTGAACAGCAGCAAACCTGCGCTGGGACTGCACTCATAAGCCCTATTTGCTGACACAGTTTTGAACTAATTTAACAAGTCCCTCTTAAACTGCTTTTATTTTCTCCCTGAAAGAAAACCTGCCTCACCTTGCAGGCAACCTAAGTAAGGGTGACCTAGAAAAAGAGGACGTTCTGTTTTTTTAAAGCATCTAATGAACTGAGGTTTTTTAAAAAAGTTTTTACTTGAATCAGTTTGATTACAAATATATTTACTTTGTTACTCAGGTTTCTCTTGCACGGTGTCTCTCATGTCAAAATTATTAGGTCATGGAATATTTAAAAAGACGAATTTCTAATGTTCTCTCTCACCCTTCCCCCATATGTCCTACCTAAAAGAACAGGCCACAAACCTATTTTTCCTCCTTTTGCACATCACCTTTAAGCTACCTGGTCAATAAAGCCCAACTCTGTTACAGATTTTATAATGTGTGAGAATTGTTCTGAAACAACAGGCACATCCACAGTCATTTGGAGAGGAGCCAACTTACAGAACCCCATTAAAGATTGGCATCAGAGTTGAACATGCTTACACCTGGGCTGAATTTGGCCCCAGTTATTATAGTCTCCAAGACAAATGCCACATTTGTAAAGTATAAATGGCATTTTGAAATACCAAAAGCATGCTTAGTCTTAGGTTTAGAGGGTGGAAATTTCTACTTCATAAATTTGTTACCCATACCTTATGTGAATGGTGTCTTCATTATCAAGCCTGCATCTCTACATAAAAAACATATAATTTTAAAAGGGTTACCAATAGAAACACTGATGCTTCTTTTGCTGAGAGAATGGCTTCAGCAGCCTATCGTAGTCAGCAAGATCTTCCTATTAATGCCAGGGGATATTTGTAAAGTGCCTTTCTTTTCTTTCATAGCAAAGAGCTCCAGGAAAGCTTATCTTAGCTCTATTTATATATCTTGGAAATGAGAACAAGAACATAACTGTACAGTGGTAAAATATGGCATATGGAACCATAACTGGGTCACACAAGCCATTTCACAAACATCTAAGTAGAAATTCCAGTCTCTCTCTTATAAGTATTATGAATAACAAACAAAATAGTTCATCTTGTTTATAACATCCCACACTCTCCACGATTAAGCCATTATCTATGTTCTTCCTGTTTTGTGGAAACTAAATTTAGGTTTGCCTGTGAGTTTAGAGTACATAGTTATAACAGTTTGTGAGTGGAAAGTTATGGGATTTATACATCTTTCTAAAAGTTTTTAAAATTAAAATGCTGAAAGAATATTGCATATAGGTGTAAATAGCACCAATCCAATAACATCACAAGTAATCCATTAATATAATGTTTTGTGTATTTATGAATTAAGCTATGAGGAAAAGAAAGAGTAGTGGGTATGATTTATGTCCAATATGTACTTCACAATAGTTTATCACTTCTGCTACACCTTTGCAACTTGAAAAAGGAAGTTCTGCCATTTTTGTCCTGCCTTTTATATACATTTTCCCCTTTTTAAAAGAAAATTATTTGGAAATAAGTATACTAGTTTGTGTAACTAGGTATAAAAAATATTGCATAACATTTTTGTAATGACATTTCCTTTGGGGAGAAAAATTTTAGGTTGATCTTATGTGTTTGACTCAATCATAATTATTAGTTCCACATCCTAAACATTGAAAGTAATGATAAGTTTGATAACTGAACTCTTAATAATAATAGCCTTACTTTTATTTTGGATCTTTGTGTTTCATATATTCAATTACCATAACAAATGTTTCTAACCAAATATGTCAGCTAAAAATGCTTTTGTTTTTTTTACAAATGAACATCACTCTTGGTTCTGTGTTAACTTATTTCTGTCTACTATTAGAGTGTCCCCTGCTGGATGAGTTGGGGACTGCATTTTGGTCCTAACTTTCCTTCATCTAAATCTATGCACAAGAAATACCTAAAAACAAAATGATCCAACGTCTTCTGAGAATATATTACCGTCCCCATTTCAACATTGTTGTTAATCCAAAACTGTATGCTTGTGTGTTTCTTATGCTCTTTTACAGATACTCAGGGTGCAGTTCTTAACATTAGGAAGCGTTTTTTGCTTATTTTCAGTTGTGTAGGATCCACGTAAAGAAAAATTCCAGTGATTAGCTGTAATATCACGTAAGCCAAACACAAATTTAGTTCCTGATCCTGTAAAGACTTGGGTATGTGCTTAACTCTACGCACTGCAAGCCGGTCCATTGACTTAAATGGGACAACAGTAGAACTTCAGAGTTATGGACCTGTCACTGACCTGTCAACCACACACCTCATTTGGAACCAAAAGTATTTAATCAGGCAGCAGCAGAGAAAAAACACAAAACAACCCCACCGACTGCAAATATAGCACAGTATTGTGTTAAACGTAAACTACTAAAAAAAAAAAAAGGGGGAGGAGCAGCATGTTTCTTCTGCATAATAAAGTTTCAAAGCTGTATTAAGTCAATGTTCAGTTGTAAACTTTTGAAAGAAAAAAACATAACATTTTGTTCAGAGTTAAGAACATTTCAGAGTTACAAACAACATCCATTCCTGCGGTGTTTGTAACACTGAGGTTCTACTGTACTTCCAGTGATAAAGTTAAATAAATGCCTAGGTTGCTGCAGGATTGGGAAGCTAGTAGATAAACATATATTAAAAGTAATGTCTGAAACAATTTTTGAAAAACCTTAAAAATGTCAGTATATTTATTCATCCTTTCTCTTAGTGGGGCTGCCATCTTAATTGTACTTTCCAACAGAGTCATAGTTGGATGACCAAGTATGAACTCAATGGAGGCTGACTGCCATTGACTTCACTGTTGGAACTCCATGCAGCCAGGAGAGCCAACCTACAGTGTGCCCATTGGGATAAGACTTAAGAGACTTTTCAATTACAAAGCACTGGAAACATTCAAAGGTTGCTGGCAGCTAAGTTCTATATCTATATATACACACTTGAGAAAGTTAATGTGAGTTGGCTGAATTAACACTTAAAAACACATACACAAAATATAGACCTTTCCTATCAGTGATTTTCATACTTACAAATTTCCTAGATGCCATCAGAGGAAGGTAGATTCTCTCTCTCCTATTTTGCGTTGCCAAATTGTTAAGATGGCAGTTTCCTTCTTTGTCCTTAAAATATTTTTAAAAGCATTGTAGTAAATTCTTTGTTTTCAGTCTCTGATGTTGTGATTGGAATCTTTTATATTATACTGGGATTTTCCTTTAACAGGCAGAACATTTGTTGATAAAATGTATTAGACATTAGGAGCCCAATCCTTAAACAACTTGATCACTCACGTACATATTTGCAGACTGGGCCCTTACTTTGCTCCCCTGGGTATGTACTGCCATGAAAGAAATTTCAATGTAATTTTGCTTGCATGGTTGTTTCACTCAGTATTTTCTTCATGGACTCACAGGCATTTAATGGAGCAGTTTATGCATTTAATGTATTCCCCCATGAAATAGCCACACAGGAAATAATTAAATTAAAAGCTGCCAATAATTGCATCTATAAAACACAGTTTGATCTGTATCTCAGAAAGTTATTCCCATTCCAACTTGTGGTTGCAAAACACATTTTACTGTAGATAACTAAAAGTTTTGTTTTTTTTTAAATCTTTGCATCCTTTATTTGCACAAATAACCACCAATTGATCGCACACACAAAAACCCAGATAAAATACCATTGAGAATCTGGCTTGAGCTGACTCAAGCCAGGCAAAGAGGAGTCAAACTGCATTTTTGTACATAACTCACTGCCTTCTGCTCAGGTGCTGCAAAACATGTAGTACAAAATGTGACCCATTGTTATCAGGCCTCCTACAAAAAGTACAGGGGTTTAGGAAACAAGACTCAGTGTGAAGTTTTAAATTATTTTTGGGGAGACTGCCAGGCACTTAGGGTTATTTGTACATAGGTTTCTAATATGTGACCTTAAAAAAATAGAAAAGGACAAAGAAATTTTCCTGTACGTAATACAGGAGAATTTCTAAAGCAGCATCACCAATTTGGTTTGTCTAACAAGATACAGGTCGGGTTTTACCATTTTGGGGATCTCTTATTCAATACATCTTTCCTGAGCTGTTGGGTTCCCAGATATTTCATGTGGCTCCACTACACTGAGATTGCCAAAACATAAAACTTAAGAATCAAGTGGTGATAAATATCCTTGGCGAAGAAAGAGACTCATACATATGTAAACTACCTGTAACAATGAAGCCATGAACCAAGACAGAGAGATGGCTGAAAGATTTAAAGTCAGGTGAGGCAGCATTTGTGACAAACTACAATCCATATCTAGGACACCTGTGTTAGCAATAGCTCTCATGACTGATGAAAAGCCTCAATAGCTCATTATGTAAGATTGACAAATACTGTACCCTTTAACATCCTTGCTGCTACTTGAGACAGCACAGCAGATCTGCCTCAGAAAATAACCTTTCACAAGCTAGGATTTTCTGAAGTGTGCAAATGTTGGGTCCCATGGAAATTCAGTGAAATTTTTGAAATTGCCCTCATATAATTTTGAAAAATTCCATCACCTATATTCTATAAAGCCCCATAATAAACATTTAAAATGGGATCTAAATATATTTATACAAATGTAGGCCTTATTCCTGCGAACATATGCTTAACTTTGCACACATGAGTAATTCCCCTGAAAGCAATGTAAAAGAGCCTTCCGTGACTGTGAATAAGACCCCTCAGTCTCCTTTTCATTGAATTTGGCAAAACAGTTTCTTTACTCTCCCAGATTCTGGCAGAAAGAGAAATAGTATGAAAGCTAAAAGATAACATGGAGATGATGCTGACTGGTGAAATCCACAAGCACTCCCTTTACCTAGAGAGTGTCTACCTTCCCACTGTCAAAATGGTCTGGAATCAGAGTCCTATTACTCATTTCATAGTCAACAAACAAGGGTCAGAATCTTCTTTTTTTATTGTCAGCTTGCCAAAATATTGATCCTTTTTCTTTCAGGTGCAGACCTAACTCCAGTTATCCATACCTTTGTTACTACTAGATCTAGTCTATTTTGATTCACTAGGAAAGACACTCGAAAGCTTCAGCTAGCATAGAATACAGCTGTATACTTTCTGAGAAAAGTGGACCAAGAGACCATAATACACTTGTGCTCCACATTCTGAACTTCCAGGTGGAATTGAAGGTGCTAGTGAAAGGAAGGAAGGTTCTAAATGGTTCAGTCGCCATCTGAATCAGGATTGCTTACGCTAAATGTTCCAAAAGCGAGGATTAATGGATCCAGGAGCAGAAGAGTTTGGGAGCAAAATCTCCTCTCTGGAATTCACTCCTGCCAGAAATTTGTCAAACCCTGGCCATTTTCAGAAAATGCTTTAAGATGCACCACTGGCTAGGCTTTAAACTAAATGCTGGGTCCAGTATTCCTAACATTCAGGCTATTGTCATGATCTCCTTGTCTGTCCAGTAAGGTACAAGGGGTCATGAAAGGGTTTTTACAAGCTATGTAAAGTTTACCAAGATAATACAGTGAAAGGCACAACATAAATCACTTGTAGCAATAATAATCATTCAGCATCACAGGTTAAGTTAACTAGCAGGTGTATTCATGGCTCTGTTCTACACTTGGGTTAAATATAAAAAGAGCAGTTGCACTTACTACTGCGGCTATTTTGAGCATTTTTTAAAAAAGTTTCTGTTGGTTGCTGTTATAGAATGCAAGTTAACACCTTAACGAGCCTTCCATAATATACTGTCATTACCTCCTTTGATTATAGTCATCTGATGCAATTACAGGGCTATTGTAAGACCTTATTCTCAGATCCTGTATAAACCTTGTTAAGGATATACTGAAAAATAAGAGTGGCCAGAGCATGACCCCCACAGACTGAAAATGGTCCATATAATTTTATAAGATGGCAACCACTATTATCATCTTTGTTTAGTATAAGAGGTCGGTGTGCAGAAACAGCAGGTCCCAGCTCCTAACACTCAATCTTGATCCAACCTGAAGGTAGACATGAACTAAGGGTTTAATGGGTTCAAATAAAATAAGATCAGAGTCAAACCTTCACTCAAAACATGAAAAGAACCTTTTCTGGGGTTCAAAAAATTAGATACAGTAATTATTTCCCTCCTCTTCCACCCCATTATTTTTGTGCATCTCTGTTTTGCTGGTTCTGGCCAGTACTAGAGGTAGAAGTGCCAAATTGCCATGAGAAAGGATTTTTCCGGCTCTTTCTAATCTGACCCAAAGAAGGAAATAATAGAAAGCCTGTTTTCATAAGCATTTCACCTCAGCTTCCTAACTTCAAGAGGTTGCTACAGTAGTTCAGAAAAAAACATCTGAATTTATGGGTGTTAATCCAAACCAAATTAACCCTCAGAACTGTTAGATGTCCACCCATATCAGGACAGAGCCATATTCTAGCCAGCTGCTTTAGTGGAGTTTGAACACTGTTTGA